ATTCTCCCAGGGGATCCTGCCCATCAGTTCCCTGAGGGAGTCAAAGTCTGCTTTTCTGAAGTCCAGGATCCGTATTCTGCTGCTCTCCTTTCTTCCCTGTGTCAGGATCCTGAACTCAACCATCTCATGGTCACTGCCTCCCAGGTTCCCATCCACTTTAGCTTCCCCTACTAATTCTTCCCGGTTTGTGAGCAGCAGGTCAAGAAGAGCTCTGCCCCAGTTGGTTCCTCCAGCACTTGCACCAGGAAATTGTCCCCTACACTTTCCAAAAACTTTCTGGATTGTCTGTGCACCGCTGTATTGCTCTCCCAGCAGATATCAGGGTGATTGAAGTCTCCCATGAGAACCAGGGTCTGCGATCTAGTAACTTCCGTGAGTTGCTGGAAGAAAGCCTCATCCACCTCATCCCCCTGGTCCAGTGGTCTATAGCAGACTCCCACCATGACATCACCCTTGTTGCTCACACTTCTAAACTTAATCCAGAGACTCTCAGGTTTTTCTGCAGTTTCGTACTTGAGCTCTGAGCAGTCATACTGCTCCCTTACATACAGTGCAACTCTCCCACCTTTTCTGCCCTGCCTGTCCCTCCTGAACAGTTTATATCCATCCATGACAGTACTCCAGTCATGTGAGTTATCCCACCAAGTCTCTGTTATTCCAATCACATCCTAATTCCTTGACTGTGCCAGGTCTTCCAGTTCTCCCTACTTGTTTCCCAGGCTTCGTGCATTTGTGTATAGGCACTTGAGATAACTCGCTGATCGTCTCTCTTTCTCAGTATGAGGCAGGAGCCCTGCCCTCTCACGCATTCCTGCTCGTGCTTCCTCCCGGTATCCCACTTATCTCAGGACTTCGGTCTCCTTCTCCCGGTGAACCTAGTTTAAAGCCCTCCTCACTAGGTTAGCCAGCCTGCTTGCGAAGATGCTCTTCCCTCTCTTTGTTAGGTGAAGCCTGTCTCTGCCTAGCACTCCTCCTTCTTGGAACACCATCTCATGGTCAAAGAATCCAAAGTCTTCTCTCCGACACCACCTGCATAGCCATTCGTTGACTTCCACGATTTGACGGTCTCTACCCAGGCCTTTTCCTTCCACTGTATGTATAGTTGGGGTTATTTTTTCCAATGTGCATTACTTTACATTTATCCACATTACATTTCATTTGCCATTTTGTTGCTCAATCACTTAGTTTTGTGAGATCTTTTTGAAGTTCTTCACAGTCTGCTTTGGTCTTAACTATCTTGAGCAGTTCAGTATCTTCTGCAACCTTTGCCACCTCACTGTTTACCCCTTTCTCCAGATCATTTATGAATACGTTGAATAGGATTGGTCCTAGGACTGACCCCTGGGGAACACCACTAGTTACCCCTCTCCATTCTGAAAATTTACTATTTATTCCAACCCTTTGTTCCCTGTCTTTTAACCAGTTCTCAATCCATGAAAGGATCATCCCTCTTATCCCATGACAACTTAATTTAAGTAAGAGCCTTTGGTGAGGGACCTTGTTCTGCTACAAACACGGGGAGTGATTGCTTAATAGTAACATCCATTACTATTTTCTGTGATTATTTATTATTAAAACCACACACTAAGCAGCACAACACCCATGTGCATAGTGTTAACCAAGGCGTGCTAAGAAAAGCAGGAGTAACCAAAACACTGCTTTTAAAAAGGAATTAAAAATAAACAAATAAAATGGAGTGAAGTTGCATTCACAGTGGCTTATAGGAAACAGAGTAACTGTCAGGCATCGGCACAGCAGATCACACCCACATACAGTGACAATGAATTATTATGTAACAAGACATATAGGGCAATGTGTTTTAACACCACAGCCCTGGGGAGGGGGGTGCTGCGATGGGCCAGCCAGGAACACCAGCCTCTGCCCCCATGTCCTATTTTGGCAACCACAGCAGATGGCTCATCCCATTGTAGTAACTCATAGCCCCTCTGCCCCTCCCTATCCCGGTGTTTCCCCCTCTGCCCCTGTCTGGCAGCGCATCTCCCCCTACACTAACCTGGTTTCTTGCACCTTCTCCCTGGTTCTCTCCCTTCCCCTGCCACCACCAGCTGTTCCACCTGCCTCTGGCCATGTTTTGGTCCCTGCACAGATTCTCCCCATTCCTCCCCCTGCTACAAACCAGGCCCCTCTGCACCCCTCAGCTGGGAGGAGAGTCTGATGGCAAGTGAGAGCAGCAGCGTCAGCAGCTGTTACTGGGCATGGCCCGCTCGCTCTAGCCTGCCCCGTGACAGCTCAACAGCGTGGGAAATTTCCTGCAGAGTCTCCCCTGGCCCTTCCCTCCAGCGGATGAGCTGCCTGGGTTAGAGGCTGCTCCAGCCGCCTCCATTGTGAGCTGGGAGCCTGGGCCGAGCCACTGCTGCTCCCCAGTGGGGTCTGTCCAAGCCTCAGGCTCTGCCTGCACCAGCCCCGAGGCCGGAGCCTGCAGGTGAGGGGAGCCCCGGGGGAAAGGTCTGGGGCCAGGCAGGAAAGTGACTCTGCACCAACGGCCCCTCCAGGACAGCGAACACCCCCAGGGACCGACTCCTGGGCAGAGGGGGAAGGAGATGGAAGGGGAGGAAAAAGGGGAGGCAGCAGGAGAAATAAGTGGTAATTTATTTCAAAATACCTGTCAACAAGTATGTCTGTAACAATACAAATAAAAAGATTCAGCAATTTTTTTATTGACTAATAGATTCTTTACTAGGCGTATTAGTACAGAATGTTGATGTCAAGGTTTCTTCCCCACTCTGAACTCTAGGGTACAGATGTGGGGACCTGCATGAAAACCTCCTAAGCTTACTTTTACCAGCTTAGGTTAAAACTTCCCCAAGGTACAAACTAATTTTACCCTTTGCCCTTGGACTTCCGCTGCCACCACCAAACTTTATCTGGGTTCCTGAAAAAACGTAGTTTGGACAAGTCTTTCCCCCCAAAATCCTCCCAACCCTTGCACCCCACTTCCTGGGGAAGGTTTGGTAAAAATCCTCACCAATTTGCATAGGTGACCACAGACCCAAACCCTTGGATCTTAGACCAATGAAAAATCATTCAGTTTTCTTACAAGAAGACTTTTAATAGAAGTAAAAAAGGAATCACCTCTGTAAAATCAGGATGGTAGATACCCTACAGGGTAATTAGATTTAAACATAGAGAATCCCTCTGGGCATAACCTTAAGTTACAAAAAAGACACAGAGACAGGAATATTCATTCTATTCAGCAAAGCTATTTTCTCAGCCATTTAAAGAAATCATAATCTAACACATACCTAGCTTGATTACTTACTATATTCTAAGACTCCATTCCTGTTCTGTCTCCGGCAAAAGCATCACACAGACAGACACAGACCTTTTGTTTTTCTCCCTCCTCCCAGCTTTTGAAAGTATCTTGTCTCCTCATTGGTCATTTTGGTCAGGTGCCAGCGAGGTTACCTTTAGCTTCTTAACCCTTTACAGGTGAGAGGATTTTTCCTCTGGCCAGGAGGGATTTTAAAGGGGTTTACCCTTCCCTTTATATTTATGACAGTTGAGTACTAATTCATTTAAACTACAATACAGAAACGTATTTCCCGCACCCCTCAGAAGCCATGCAAAGGCTTGCGGGAGTCAGGGTAACGGACGAGCTGAGGGAGAGGGAAGAAGCCTGGGAGTGAATCTGGAGGGTTGTTGAGTGTGGGTGGGAGAAGCCTGGAACAGCTTCTTTTGGGGGGGAGGGATTGTTAGGGAGTTGGGGAACCTCCCCCCTGCAGACTCTGGCTGACCCCGAGCCTCTCCCATTCAGTCAGGCACATCTGCCCCATCCCTGCATCCCGTTCCCCCTCCTCATGTGTCCCGTCACTCACCCTTCCCTCCATCCCCATGTGCCCCGTCACTCACCCTACCCTCCATCCGCATGTGGAGCCCCCCACCCACTCAGACCCTAGCTCAGTGCTGTCATCCTACTAGCTCCTGAGCCCACGCCCCAGTCTGTCCCCACAACTAGCCCTTCTGAACCCCAGCCTGTGGCCCCTCAGCAGCCCTGTGTGGCCCCCCTCTGCCCCCGAGCCTGGCTCCACCAGAGGCTGCTCTGATGACAGCAGCCAGCTGTGGTCGTGCCACATCGGCCCCTGGTGGGCGAAAGGAAGAGCTGCCTGAGCGCGTGTGTAGTGATGTTTATAACCCGTGAACATTGTGCTGTACGTAGAATTGAATAAACTGGTCTGACAGTTTTATAATTATTTTGTAACAATAAATATTTGGGATTTCTTGAAATAACAGTTAAAACAACAACAAAAATCAGCTATTTAGAGAAGTTAAATTTTAATGTACTTGTCAATGAACATTCAAACAATATGTGCTAATTCCATTTCTAAGAGTGTGTTTAGAGGCATGTTTTTGAAATACTGTTGAAATGTAAATTAAAATATTCTCGTATATACACCTTGTTACAATCATAGCATTTTCTAAATCAGAAAAATCTCTTTTTTTCTTTCTCTCAGTATTTAAAATTGAGCTGTTACATGGGAAGAAAGTCTGACAGGAGTGAATGATTCCTGTCCATCACAATCTGCAACCCCTGGACAAGGGGATGGGTAAAGGGGGGAACAAACTGTGACGGGGCAGCAAAAACCCATTAGTGGTGGTATCTGAGTATTTCTCTCCAGTGTTGCCCCGTGCTGGGAGCCGTTTGTCACAATGCACAAGGGAGGAGCAGAAACCCGTTAGCGGTATCTGAGTATTTCTCGCCAGTGTTGCCCTGTGCTGGGAGCCGTTTGTCACAATGCACAAAGGAGGAGCAAAAAATTGGAAGGGGGGAAAAAGCTTGCTCCTCCCAGCAAGTGGGTGCCATTCGCCCAGCCCGGGCCCTCGCTCACACCGCCCTGGGGCTGGGCTCTCACTCTCCTTCCCCTGCCCAGCCACCAAATCGCCTCCCCAGCTCTCCCCACCCCTCCCTCCATCGCGCTGGGACCAGCTCCCCCCCATTGCTGAGTCTGCAGCGCAGAGCAGCCCCTATAGCACAGCCCCGGCGCTCTCACTCCTGCCCCCGCACCACCCCTGTGGCCGCTTCACTCCCCTCCATGGGCAGAGACTCACCCAGGCCAGGAAATGCTGGGATGTACCTGCCGCTCACTGGCCCCATTGCACTCACTGGGCTCCTCTCCTCCCCTCTGTCATTTCTGCCAGGGGCTCTTCCTCCTTGGGCCTCTCTCCCCTACCCCCTCATTACAACCGCCTCCGCCCAGCCTGCCTCTTGTGATCTGGGCTTTTCCATTCCTGCTTCTACAAACTCCTCCCTGCCCTGGATCCTACACAGCCCAGCAGCCTGCACCCCATCCCCTCATGACTGCACCCCTATCTCCTCTTCCCCACATCAGAGGCTGGGTTCTGGAAAGTGAGAGGGGTGAAGGTGGGAAGTGGGGGGAAGTTGATGTCCTTTTCACCATCACACCGGGGGGGGGGCAGGAGCAGGCTGTTTCCAGAAGTGTCAGGAAGTCTGGTATTCTGGCAATGTGTGAGTGGCCAGCTTAGGTGTCACCTTCAGGGACCAGGATTCCCTCTGGCCTGAGCTGGGACTGAGCAGATTATGAGGGGAGCTGCACTTTTACCTCCAGCATTGGCACAGGGACTGAAGAAAGGACGGACTGTTCCAAAGAAGGTGTCAGTGAAAGTGAAGAGATGGGATCTGTCAGTCACATTGTAAAATGAGACCTCGCCTGCCTTATAATCCAGGAAAATCCCAACCTGGCTGGGCTTGATGCCCACATGGAGGGGGATTGCGGGGAAGGTGAGGGCCTCATATTCCCCATCTCTCAGACACATAGTCCAGTATCCATTTTTAGGCAACAGGTGATCTGGACTCTTCCTGCTCACAGACTCCTTACAAATCCCCAGAATCCATCCAGTCTTGTCTCCCACCTCCACCTCCCAGTAATGCCTCCCTCCTGTGAATCCCTCAGCACCCAGGACAAAGACACAGGGATCAAATCTCTCAGGATTATTGGGCAGATTTTGTCGTTTGGTTTTGCGTATCACATGTTTCCTATCCTGAGACAGAACAAGGTTGGGATGAGCCGTGTCTGGATCCAGAGTCACGTCCACTGGGGAGAAAGTCACAGAGTTAGTGCTGAGGGCAGGGGCTGGTCACTAAGATCTAAGGGAAATTAACCTGTGTCCCAGTTAATCGCTGTGTCGGGGTGTTGTTGCCTTAAAGGGGAGTTAGGGCCTTGTCCACCCACGGGAAAGAACTTGAGGAGAATACTGGCATGTGAGTGCATGTGTGTGTGTGTCAGTGGGGTTAGAGGGGAAGGGCAGGACAAAGGGGAGATATCAGTGGGGGTAGGGGAGGGGCAGGCCCCAGAGGGCAGATACTAGGCTGGGAAAGCAAAGAGAAGAGGAGGATCAGGCTTGGGGGAACCAAGGGTGTGGGGAGGGGCAGGCATTGGAGGATGAGGGGTGGCCCTGGAACCAATGCAGGAAAAGCAGGCATTGGGAGTGTCAAAGGGAGTAGGAAAGGGGGAGCGTAAGAGTGCCACAGTGTAGGAGGAAGGGACTGGCTGGTATTGGAGGGGGCAGGGGGAAGGGGAGGGGTAGAGGGAATGAGGAGAGAGGTGGGTGCCTAGGGTGCAGAGGGGAGCAATGGAAGGGCCAGGCCCCAGGGAAGCTCTATTGCTTTGAGGCCATGTGTGGCTGGTTTGTTACTAAGCATAGGTCGGCGCTGTCCCCACACACACTGGATGGGCAGTCCTGCCCCAGGGGGTGCAGCAGGGACTCTCCATGCTGGCCCGATGGGCATCACCTTCCAGCCAGGCAAACCCCACAACCAGGCCCTTCCCTTGCTCAACCCGGCCTCTCCCCCAGGGCATGGGAAGGATGACTGGGCAGGGTAGAGGGGGGTGCTGGGAACTGTAACTGGGCATTGGGGGAACAGGGGCTGTTGCTAATGAGGCTGGGGCAGTGAGGAGGGGAGGGGCCTTTACCCCACTTACTGCCTCCTCCATCTAGGATAAGCTGCATGGGCTGCCAGTCCCCCTTTACACTTTATGCTACATCTTGTACAAAATGTGCCATGTGAGGTGTATATGGAAAAGTTATGATTTGCTGAATATGATTAACCTATTTGTGTGCATGTAACATTTTTATCTCTCATGTTATGAATATTGACTATGTATCTGTATTTCAAATGTGCGTGCTCTGGGTAACACCCACAACTAGCCTTTCAGGTACAACAATGAAAAAGCTAGACAGTGCCAATGGTTCAGCAGCGAAAACAGCAAGCCATGGAAAAGGCTTGTCTTCACCTGGGGACGCTTCAGCCACCCTATGGATAATGGCTGCCATGACTCATCAAGCATGCAAGGGCATGTGACTAGACTGAATGTTACTGAACTCCATTTGGGTACCTGTATTTTTCCACAAATTGGGCTGGGAACTTGGCTTGGAACAAAGGGGTTCCTGACATATGAAAGAAACTATAAAAGGGGGAAGTGATCTCACCAAGGGGCCTCACTCCCTCTACAGCTCAACACTCGGAAACACCTAAGGAACAAAGACTGACCTGGGGGAAGTGCTGGTCCTAGGCTGGAAGAGAGGATTCCTGCCTGTGTATAGAACATCTACAAACTGCTTGTACTTGCTAACAGGGTGAGACACTGTTTGATTTAAATCCTGTCTGGTATATTAGGCTTAGATTGCATTTTTGTTTATTTGCTAGGTAATCACTTATAATCACTTAAAATCTATCTTTCTGTCATTAATAAATCTGTTTTATGTTAGCCAGTGTGAGTTTTTGAGTAAAGTGTTAGGGAATCTTAGCTCTGTTAACAAAGGCTGGTGCATATCTTCCCTACAGCGAGGAGGGAGCAGAATAATTAATGAGCTTGCACTGTACAGATCCCTCTCCAGTGCAAGATGGTATAATTCTGGGTTTACACTCCAGAAGGGCAGGACTTGGGATCTTGGAAATTGGCTGGTGCCTCCATGGCTTAGGTAAAGCACTCAGGTACCTCAGCTGGGGGTGTGGCGCCACCTACTGTTATGTTGGGTGATAACAGGGCCAGGAGGGGCTGGCTGTGTGCCATCAGCAAAAGCTGTGTGAGAGGCCAACCCAGATGGATAGTTCGGGGGAGGGCAGTGGTTCCAGTAGCTTCCAGGCTCCACCCCAGGAGTGCAGCCCACCACAGCACCTTTTTCAGTTCATTTGAAACTATTCAGAAAACTCAGCATGAATTCACAAATCGTTTCAGTCAACCCGAAATATAATTTTCTGGCAAGTTAACTAAAAACATTTTGCCCAGCTCTACTTCAAACCTCTCTAAGAAATGGAGCCCAGATCCCAGTGACTTGCAGTGAATGACTGTCAACACCCTAGCAAGGGGATTTCTCCCAGTTTAGGGAGGCCAGGTCTTGGCTTTGGGGCTGCTGCCACACCAGCCTGCTGGTCACAATGTGGCCTACACCATTTGTCCCCATGCACAACACATGCCAGTTCTCCTCCCCACCCACATGTAAAGGAAACCCAGCCAGCAGCTCTCACTCACGAGTGAATCTCGCCAGCATTTCCCTCATGTCAAGGCAGATTTTATACCCGTTCTTCAGGGCAGGAGAAACGGCTTCTGGTGGCTGGAGTTTCACATGCTCACTCCTGTGAAGAAAACGTCCCATGATCACTCATCTGCTCTGCACCCACATTGCTCATGGGAACAGAAGGAGAAATGGAAATGGGCACAGACCTGATCAATGTGCTTTTCACACCCTGAAAGGAGACAGAAAGACAGGGAGCGGGGTTAACACCATGTGCAAAAGCCTTCAAAAAAAGGCTGCAGACTTTCCATTCTCTACCACATTGAATCCACAATATTTAACACAGCCGCTTCTCTGCAGGACACTCAGCAGTGATCACCGATTTCAGGTGCCCCGTCACCCTGGCTCTGACTCTCAGAGGAGCTGAGTGTCATGTGACAATGGCACAGACTCGGGGGATGTGACATTCTGCGAACATTGAACAAGGAGCTGTGTTGGGACAAGGAAAGCAGCAGAATCCCTAACACACCTCTGTCTGTCCCGCCACTTACCTGCAGATTTTCCACCAAACTGTTCCCAGCCTCACACCTGTACGGCTTCCTGCTGCAGATCTAAGGAGACAGGGCCCAGATCCTCACCCTGAGCAGCTGCAGCTCCCATTGTTTCAGCTGTTGTGTGGGTGCTCAGCCCTTCCCAATATCAGCCCCCAGGTATCCCAGGCTGGCACCCAGAGATGGAGGCCCCCAGCACCAATGGCCAGTGATGAGAGTCTTGGCCCTTTCATTTCATGAATTTGAGAGTTCACTTTGTCTTGTGTTTCCCCCCTCTGGACGCCCCCTTGTCACCACTGAGAATCTCTGCTCATCAGCAGCATTGGGGCAAGTTCCAGCTGGCTCAGCAGGGACCACATCAGCCCCTTGCTCCTTCTGCTCCACCCGTTCGACAGGCAAAGCCCCTGCTGTATCTGCGTTTCTCTCCAACATAGACTGCGCGTGTCGGCACCGACAGGATGTCACGCCTGGGCTTCTGTTCATGTCGGGAAACTGTCAGAGCAGGCGCAGGAAATAGGATTGGTCACTAATTCCTGGGATCTAGTCACTGACCAGAGAGTTTAAGGCCACAGGATGGATGGGGAGATTGTTAACAGTCTCACCTGCAGCAGTTCAGCAGCCCGTTGCTGACGCTTCTCCTCCATCTCTGTGATGAGACTGATCAGTGCAGCACTCTGCTCTGAAAGCTTTGTTATATTGTGCTGTAGTCTCTGCAGACTCTCCCTCTCCTCCTCCGCCAGTCTCCGCAGGAGCAGCTGCTCTTCCTCACTCAGAAGCTGGTGCAGTTTCTTAAATTCACGTGTGATCGACCGTCTCCGATTCTCCACTTTGTCCTTTAGTAAAAAATGGAGAAGGAACAAACCGCAGGAGCCAGAGCTGGGCACACACTGAACTGAGTCTGCCTCGGGGTTAGTGAGCAGGGCTGCTAGTCTTGGGTTGCGATGATCACGTATCCATATGAGGCTTTAGAGTAATGGATCACCATAAGGGAAATGCAAAATGCCCTTCTGAGAAAAAGTACCTGGGTCACACTCCCAATCGCTGCTCCTGTATCTCCACCCCCTCCCCTGATCTGGGGGTGGGAGTCTCAGGGGCAGGGTGGGAGGGCCGTGTCCCTCTCCTGTAGATCCTGGTGCTCTTGCTGCATTGGGGGCAGGCAGTGGCCACCCTTGGTGACCCTTTGAACAGTGAAGCTGGGATGGGAGCATCTGGCCTCTCCCTGAAATCAGAAGGTCCCAAGAAGACCCCTGTGGTAAGAAGGGCGAGCTGGGACCAGGGACTCGGGGGGGGGGGAACAGACTGAGGGAGGATAGGATCAATCATGGGGAGTGGGATAGGGGTCCACACACAGAGGCAGTGGTACATGGGTGCTGGATAAAGCTCAGCACAGGGACAGTGGTACATGGGTGGGGGTCAGCATATGGAGGCATGCGGGAATAGGGGCAGGAGCTCTCCTTGCTACACAAGCTGAGGGACCAGGCTGTCCATCAACATACATCATAGCTCTGATTGGCTGCCCTTCACTATCAGGAAGGGGAAAGGCAGCCAATCAGAGGGGATTTCCCCTCAAACGAGGGGTGTCTCCTGCCCACTCTTTAGAAGGGTCTGAACCCCCCCCCCCCCAATTGGTTGCTCTGGCTGCATGAGGAGCGAGTGGGTCTGTGTGTACTGGACAGTGGGTGGGTGGGTGCAGGATGAGTTGGGGGGGGTGCAGAGGTCGGGGTGCAGTGAGTGGGGATTGGGTGTATGGACAGTCCTGTGGTGAGTCTGTGCTGCTACCCATGGGCCAGGAACTGCTCCTCCAACCAGGGCTGCTGCACTAGGATCCCCGTCAGAGACATTTCCTGCTCCTGGCACCATTGCACTGTCCCAGGGCAAACAGCCAGAGCAGGTTATAACCTCAGCCTGCAGCTTTACAGCCCCGCATCCCCAGGAGCACTGCAGGGGGAAGGGCTCAGGGAAGGATGAACCCAGACACCCACCTGCCAATTCATGTATTTCTTCTGCTCTTTAGATGTCAGCTCCAGGGCCTCCTCCAGTGCCTGCCTCAGAGGGCCCAGGGCTTCCTGGAGTTTCACCTTCAGGGGCACCGTGTGAGATAAACATCCATTAGTCTGCTTGTCTGTTGGGTGAAGACTGCAGGAGGTAGGGTTGGTGAAAGCAGAGGCCCTATAGGACCATGTCTAGACCCCAGCTACTGGAGTCGTGATTACCTCAGGCTCTTGGCATCCATTAAAAATGCATGATTCAAACCCTCCGGGTTGCAAATTAAATATTGAAACATGCCCTGAGTGTGACAGACACAGTGACACCTGCCTGAGTCTGCAGAGAGCCTGAGCCAGTCACCAGAAAGATAATGCCATGTGTCTCTAGGGGGTGTTAACCTGCCAACTGTAACCCCGCAGAGGACGCTGTGTGTGGCAGGAAGGGGAGAGCTCTTCCACCCACCAAAAGAGAGACAGTACTGCAGGGAGATGGGATTCCCTGATCCTGTATCTCTCTTTCTCAGGGGAGAGGGGACCCCCCCGCTCCTGTCCCCAGTGTCCCCAAGGGGAGGGAGCCCCCAGCCACACACCCTGCCTGTTCAAAGAAGTTTGCAGGTCCCACCCGCAGCAGACAGCCCTTGGGTGTATGGTCCCTTTTACAGCCACTGCCAGTGGGGCAGGGTCATAGCAGGGCCCGGTGACAGTGTGTGGAGCCTGGGCCTCGGGTGGCCTCAATCTGGTCCTGTGTGAAATGCACATTTCAGTAACAAAGCCAGGAGAATGCCCTGGGCAGAGATAGCAGGGGCAGCACTGCAGGGCCTGGGGCATGGTCTGGCTGAGACGCTGATCCCAGGGGAGACTCTTCCCCACCCGGCTGTCGCACTCAGAGTCCTCTGGAACGCAGGAGTTTAGCTGAAGTGCCAAGACACTGAGTCCAGCCCAGGCCCTGCAGCCCCTAGCGCTAACCAGGGCAGGGGAATCCTCGCGTGGGGGGGAAGATCTATGTGTCTATGGTGCAACACCAAGCACAGACCATGGGGCCCAGGATCCAGCCCCATCTCTATTCCCCTTTCCCCATTTCCTCATCTCACAGGTGTCATTTGTTTGGGGGATGTCATTCATCTCAGGCCAGCTCCCAATGTCCCACACTGGACATACCTCCCTCTCCTGCTCTCACACACTCCACTTCCCCTCCCCTTTGGGCCCCTCTTCAAACAACCCTCCCTCACCCAACCCCATAACACACATAGACACCCATGCTGGGTAAAGCCCCAATGGGATATGCCCGGGTCTCCATGGGAGATGCCTGCAAAATGGAGAATCCAAGGCCTTTCCTTCCTGATGTTGCAAAGTTGCAAGCAAGCCCCAAACCCACAGTCTGAGCCAACCCCTCAGCCCTCACCCACACACTGACGAGGGAAGAGCACCAGTCCTGGATGCCTCCACTCAGATGCCATAAGGTGGCTGTGGTCACCTCGCATTGGAAGCCCTGCCTGGCAGAGAGATGGAGCCAGACGGACCCCTCACTGCCCAGCCTGGCAGCACCTGGATCCCTGGATCCACCTCCCTTAAGTCGTGTGAGTTCCCACTCCCCCCCTCCCAGCAGCTGGCTCTGGAGAAACACAATGGGGCATTTAAGGGGTTCCTTCAGCAAGAGCAGCAGTGATTCCTACCTTATAACCCTGGGCAACTTCCTCTATGGGGACCACATAGATGGCTTTTCCGTCCTTCTTACAGAAAAGCTGGAGTTTTTCCTTGTGTGTCTCACACAGATTTTCATTCTGAGCTTTCTCAGGCTGTAACCTCAGTGGTTTGATGCTCTCTACGATATTGGCCAGCTGCCTGTTTGGCCTGAAATTCCCTTTCTGGAACAGCGCTCGGCACTCAGGACAGGGGAACTGTGTGCCTGATTCAGGCTTCCTTTGCTCACAGTACTGGGTGATGCAGGCTTGGCAGAAGTTGTGCCCACAGTCTATGGTCACTGGCACCGTCAGATACTCCAGGCAGATGGAGCAAGTGGCTTCTTCTAACGCTTTCCCTATGGGCGCTGCTGAGGCCATGGCTGTCTTCTGTGTCTTGTTGATGGGCGGTCCCCTTGCTGCCTGAATCAGCTCTTCACATGCCCAGAATAAGGTGAGAACAGGAGGGGGGGGGGGGGAGAAGGGGGGGTGCCACACAGAAGGTGGGAAAGTGAAATGGGGTGAGATGGAGAGAAGAGAACAGGTAAGACATGATTATTGACCTTCTGTATGGTTTTGGAGCCTCATATGGAGATGGATTTGACTGCACTTCGTTAACATTAACTTTTTATTTTGGGGTTGGGGGCAGCTATATCAGAGGAACCCCTTGACCGAATGACTCCAACTTGCACCACTCACTCTAACCCAGCCCTAACCTGACACAACAATATTTAAAGTAATCTGAGTCTGCAGGGGGATTTACAGCACTTGGAACTATCGGCTCTTTGAGACGAAAGCTCTGCTCTTGAGGCAAAACTTCCAAGAAACGCCCATTTCCTGGAGCAGACTGAGTAATAACATGCCCAGCAGTCAGACAGCCTCAGACCGCTGTCAAGGGACCGGCTCCAACTCCGTCTCTGGCAGGGATGAAAGTAGAAATAAGGACTTACTGATACCGGGCTGGGTTGGGGCCGGCTCTGGCCCCCGGAAGGGGCTGGGCCTTGGGCGGAAGGGGCGAGAATCGGGGGGTCAGAGGCAGCCCCGACCTGCCCTGTACCAGTAAGTGCCCTCCTCCGCTAGGGTAGCAGCGGCAGCTGGGGGCTACAGCAGCAGTTTAAAGGGCCCAGGGCTCGGCCGCTGCACCTGCTCCGGGCCCTTTAAACCGCTGCCGGCGCCCCGGTCTGCCTCTGCTACTCCAGGGCTCTGGCAGCAGGGCTCCAGGGGCTATTTAAAGGGCCTGTGGCTCCAGCCGCTGCTGGAAGCCCCAGGCCCTTTAAATTGCCACCTGGGGAAGCCAGGGCGTACCAGCTTACTGTCACCTCTGGTCTCTGGTCTATACAGCACGGTGCCTTGAGCTACCCCGTGACCGATGTCAGCTGTGCTTCTACACACACTTGTCGGCCACAGAGCAGCAGCCAGTGTGTCAGGCAGACTGGAGCTGGCGATTGGAGCTAACGCTAACCCCTCCTAACAACTCCAGGATTGCTTCCCCAAAGGGGCCGTGGGTGCTCAATCCTGATCAGCTGAGATCCACGTGGGGCAGTTCAGAGCCAAAGGTAGAGCCGTAGGTTTGTGCAAAAATCTAAGAAGCGAGCAGGAAATGTCCCTGTCCCTTTTTTGGAGCGGGTGTATGGTCTGAGGTCTTTTTTTGCAGCCAGATTAGGAGAAAGCAGGAAGTCACATCCTCACATTCTATCTAAATTACATTAAAACATGTGATTTTGGGCTGTTAGGGAAGTGATCCTGCCCTAAGAGCACCCACCGTCACCAGATAAAGAAACAGATCTTAAGACGTTTAAAGAAAACCTTGTTTGACAGCATCCTGTCTGGCAAGGAATCACTTATGAACAGTTGTGGGTGTGAAACCTCCATTTCTTTATTGTTTTGCCGTTATGGTCCCTGCTTCTCTATTGTTTAGCTGCATGGTTTCTGTTCGGTTCTTTGCTTGTTTATGTCTATTACATAACTACTAATTTTGCAAGTTCGTAAATGAGCTAAGGTGGTGGGGTAGAGAATTTTTTCTCAATATGGTAGGATTGATCAAAGAATTATTTTGTAATACTTTAGTAAATGATTAGTTAAGGTACAGCTAAGCAGGACTCAAGTTTCACTATATAAACTGGGGTCCAAAAGAAAGTTCTTTGGAACCTAACTCCAGGACACAGCCCCAGAGCAGAGCTGCCAGGTCTCAACACCCTGCCGACTAGATCGTGCAGAAACTGGAGTTCCCAGGTTACCTGATTCTTATTGGCCGGCAGAAAAAGTTCGTCTATTGGGAGTGGTGAGCAATATATACCTAGTGTGTGTATTCTGTTTTGGTGATTGTTAATAACGAGAGGTTAAGTAGGATATTACTGTGTAAGGCTCTTTCGCTGGTAAAAGACCCTGGAAACCCACAGAGTGTGAGGTTATACCCTGAGCCCAGGGAAGGATGAAGGTGGGTGCCTAAGTTAACAGGGTTACGCCTTGAGCCCTAGGAAGAGGGTAAAGGTGGGTGCCCCCAGAGTGTGCAGATAACATGAGGGACTGTATCTTGGGAACACCTCGCTCAGATAACCTTAAATTTGGACCAAGAACATGACCACAGACCTCGACAGGGCACAGCAGCTTTCAAGAGAGCCCAAACCAGCATGTGGATTTTAGAGCACTTCAAAGACCAGCTATGAAACAATAAGCTCATCTCAGCCTTATCTATATTGGTGTAATAAAACAGGAAGAGATTAGGTATTGGTGGTTGTCAGGGCCTGTGACCTAGAGCCTGGATCTACAGAGGCACAGCTGGGGATCACTGTGATGCGATTGTGCCTCAGAAATTACCACCCAAGGGAGCCGGCGTGACGGCATCCTGCTGCCCTCTGATTTGCCTAGCACCCTATTTAACCCTGGGCGTTGCCCAGGAAGTTGTCTGGGAAACCCCTGGCTTTGGCTTGCTACACTTTGCCTTGTCTCCTGATTGCCGGTCTCTATTGCAGCCTGAGTCTTGCCTCCTCGCTGTGGCCTGGCTGTGATCTCAGGTCTCCAACCCTGGCCGGACTCTGTCCATGATCTTGCTTTCCTCTCAGTCCTGCTCAGCGTCTGCTGTCACTCATGTGCAGACCCCAGGCCATCAGTGATGCCTAGGCAAGGCTGCCTAGGTCCTGGTCCCTTACAATGGGGTCGGCTGGATTCTCAGCATCACCAAGGGAGAGTTTCTTAAGCTGAAATTGTAGTATAAATCCCAAGAGAGAAGCCAGTGCCTGCCCTCCCTCAGGGAGCCATTGACAGCTGCTGTCAGGAGAGCTGAGTGGTGGAGGTGCAAGGGCAGGTTCTCGGGCAGAGGCCCCCAGCTCCCACGGATGGTTCATGGCCTTATTTTTCAGAGGCTGCGAACCTGCAATCCACCTCAGTTTCAATGGGAGCTGGGGCCTCTCAGCACAGCTGAGGTGCCAGGAGAGAATTGGGGGTTGTGAACTCCTGCCCCACATGTGATGACTCAGACAGATCAGTCTGGCTACTCTCAGCTTTACCCACAATGGGCCAGATTTCCAAAGGGGTTAAGGAGCCTTCAGGCCTGTGTAACAAAAGGAGAATTGGGGGCTGCTTGCTCCACCGATTGCCATGGAAATTTCCAGAAAAATTTATACCTGGCCCTGGTACCACTTGTCCCTACCCTGCCCATTAGTGGGGCTCAGGGCATAGGGGGCGGCAGGGGTGAGGATGGGCAGAGGAGATGAAGTGTGATGCTTGGGGGGAAGAGTGGGGATCCTGGGCAGAAAGGGGAGTGTTGGGGACTGAGAGGAGGCAGTAGCAGGCAGTGCTGTGCTGAGGGGGATGTTACAGAGGGTCTCTGCAGCTGGGAGCATCTGTGCTGAGCGGTAGAGACATGGCACCATCTGGGCTATTTGCTCCCCTCCTGCTCCCATTTCCTGTTGTGGAAGGAGCCAGGATTGATCAGAATCCAGCCCGTTGGCCCAGCCCCAGGGATCCCATGGACACCCCAGCCCGCCCCTCAAACCCTGCTCGGATGGGGGCAGGGTCCCTTTCTTGGGGCTGCTGCTGTTGCTGCCCTTAGGACAACACTGAGAGGGCATCCTGCTGCCTCCTTGTCTCAGCCCACAACAGGCCTTCAGCACCAGCCCTGAGCCTCCCTGGACCTTCTACTTAAACTTAGAATTCCGTCCAAAGGCGGACATTCTGCGGGGGCTGGACCCAGCCCCTGGGGCAGCCCCGGGCTCTGCCCGCACCAGCCCCGCACTCGGAGCCTGCAGGTGAGGGGAGAGACCCAGGGGAAAAGGCTGGGGCCGGGCAGGAAAGTGACTCTGCACAAATGGACCCGCATTACACAATCACGGTTACCGGGGGGGGGGGCTGCGAGTCCCAGAGCTGCTGAACGCAGGAGAGTGAACACTCTGAGGGAGGAAAGGTGAAGGAGGGGGAGAGACCGAAAAGGGCAGCAGGAGCAATAAGTTAGGAGGGAGAGTCCCAGCTCCCAGATCTGCCTGGATCCACAGGTGATGTGAAGGGAGGGGAAGGGAGGTTTCCAGTCCCTCTTTGCGGATACCCCAGGCATGAGAAGGTTTGGAGGGCTTCTGTTCCCGAGAGGAGAAGCCCTGTCTGCACAAACCCTTCACCTTGGGGATAAAAATCCTGGTGGCCCCAAACAAGCCCTGAAGCTGAGCCACATACAGCCCACAGTTACTGATGAGCCCTGCCCTGCTGTTGTCCTACCCTGGGCCTGGGGGCTGGTGAGCCCAGCTGTCTCTGCGCCCTGCCCCAGAGAAGAGATCTTTCCTCTCCGGGGCATGCAGGCAGCAGTGGGATCCCCCATCAGCTCTGCCCCAGCTGCACGGAGACAAATTGCTCTGTATCCTGGGGAGAGTCAGAGACACACGGGACCCTGAATCTGTCTCCAGGGTCTGGGACTCTGTCCTGGCTTAGGGCCTGAATGAAGAGATGGTGGGGCTCCTCACCTTTCTGTCTCTGGGCTCTGTGTCTCCCCAGGCTCTCTCTGATCCTGGGAGCTGCCAAGCCCCCGGCTCCTCCCGAGTTCGGTGCCTCTCTGCATGCCCCGGAGAAAGCAGCGCTGTGTCATCTCCACCCAAAGGTGCCAATCTCCCTTGGGGCCTGGGGAGAGAGACCGCCCACAGGCACAACAGCCCAGGCCTGTCAGGGTGTATCCTCCCCACCCTGCTCTGCACGGAGCAGCTGCTGCTGCAGACGTGGAAAATGACACAGGCCATTTGGCAGCTCCCTCTCATTCACTTGGACTGATTTTCTGTTGCTCACCACAGTGTGAACCAGGAATAACAGGTTTAATTTCATTTCCCTGTTCCCATAAAAGTGCTGCCATAACAGCAACCGGCCATTTCTCTTCTGCAAACTTCCTGCTGCTGCGGGGTGAGTTGGAAATAGAGATTGGGATGAGAAGCCATGTCCCATCCAGGGAGGGCTCTGTTCCTC